GTCAGAGGTAGTAAAATCATGCTAGTAATCTTAAAAACAAAACTGTAAAAGGGTTGAACTCTACTGGTAACAATTACATAGGCTGCCCACAAATTCATCGGTGGAGCAGGTCCCGAAAGGTCCTCTAAGAACCAACTGCTCATTGGTATTAAATGGTGGGTTTTGTTACAGGTATCAGTACCTTGGCTTGTGTTCTTAAGTTAACTTGATCTAGAATGTAAAATAAATGAATAAATATTCTCCAGTTTTAAATGTTACCTGTCATTAGACTCTAGAACCTAATCTTCCATGATGACAGAAACAATGAATCATCACTATCAGGTCCAATCAGTGAAGTATGCCATACTTCAATAATTGAGTAAGAACGTGGCATTTTCACAATCAAACTTCAGACTATCTAACAATTAAATATATTTTTGAAAACTGTCTAATGTTTAGCCTCCCCACGTGAGGAGGGGAATTAGGAAAAGGAGGGAAGATCTGTGGGTTGAAATAAGAACTATTTAACAATTGAAAGAAAATATAATGGAAAATAATAATGATGATGATAATATACACAGACAACTGATGTATCAGTGCAATTGCTCACCACTCTTTGACCAATATCCAGCCTGTTCCCAGCCAGTGATCCTAGAGCAGGACAACGCTGAAACCACAATCCCAGAAGAGGACGAGAAGACCTCGGGAGCAGAACAATGGTCAAGAACCTCCAGGAACGGCGACCATTGAGAGAGAGGCCATCTCTAACAAACTTTCCAATTTATAGTGAGCATGATGTTACATGTGGTATGGAATACTCATTTGCCAGTTTAGGTGCCAATCGCCCTGGCCATGTTTCCCTCAGGTTCTTGGACATCTGGGTCATTAGCAATAACAAGTTGCAAAGTCCTTGATCACTACGGATACCTGCATACCACAGCTGGCCACAAACTAAACCAAAGTGCCTTATCAACTCTGTTCTTGCAGAATCCATCGCTGCAGTTGTCTTAAAAATGCAGCTTACTTTAGAAATGCAGCTTTTCTGAACAGAAAATTGATTCTATGATTTTATCTCAGCGAAACCAGGACAGAATTAAAACAAAAAATCCCCTTTGTTGGCCACTTCCATTTTTCTTTTTTCCGAAGTTGTAACTGAGCAATTCCTCCTATGGGGAGATTCAGCATTCATCACACTAGAATGATTCATGTGAGAGAAAAAGGAATGAATGTAGACAACTCTGAAAGATCAGTTTCCACTAATCCTCACGATTCAAGGAGTTTCTGAATGGCTAGTTTCCAGAACGGAAGTAGGCAAAGAAATGCATACAAAAATTCTAATCAAAGTGATAAGTAAAGTACACATCAAAACAAGAGGCCAGATTAAAAAAAAGAGATAGTCCTTAATAAGATCACAACCTCAGTTTGCTTATCTTTCAGTTGCAACCAGAAAGACTGGTTTTAAGTAAACTTGCACCTCACCATACTCCCATAGATACTGGGCTCCTAAATAAATAGTAGTAAACTTCAACATACTTCATAAACTTTGAGTAACACAGCGTTTGCTTTCATAAGGTGTTCACATCTTCCTCACTCCTCTAAAGACTTAGCTGTGTTTTTTTTGAAGTGGCATACAGTCATTTCTAAAACATCACAAAGCACTTTCATCAGCCAGGGTGAGTACAAACAAGACCACTTGGAAAGAAGACAGGCAGAATCCTAACTCCAGAAAGGTCAGCCAGTTTTCTTCACGAGTTCACAGAACCAAATAAAAACCTCAGTACTTCTAACAGCCACTGTATTTGGAGTTGGTAAGTGGGCAGTTTTATACAGCTCAAGTGTGTGTGCACACGGGTGGGTGAGGCAAAGAGGGGAAAATCAAGTATTAGTATGATGTCAGATAACTGCAGGTTTTCATTGGTGCAGTGCTACTCTACCCTGCAGAGATCTCCCCTGGATGTTCGGTTAAGATAAAGGATTTCCTTTCTCATGATTTGTGCTATCTTCCTTTCTTGTGCTCTTCTTATCTTGATCTCTGTAACCAGATACATGGTTTATCTCAGGTCTTTTCTCACCCTTCCATTCTCATTGCCTATTTCTTTCACTTCAGTTTTCATGCAAATATCCTGCTAGGATTCTGCCTGAGCTGCCTTGCATACTCTTCTGAGACCCTCTTTCATAATGACACATTTTCTTAATGACAAAACAGATTTGGATTATTTTATATCCCTTTCCTATGTTAGTCATTTTCTCACTGATCTGGAAAAAAAAATAGTGCTGTAGCAGTGAGGTCAAAAGTTATTTATTAGCAAGCTCAACCACCTTTCACCTATGAACACAAGAATTTTTAAAAAAAGGAACAATTCTCTTAGCAGATAAAAGTTAACATTTTGAACAACCTGAAGCTTCAGCTCTTTAAATGTTTTAATATCACTTTTTTTTTTTCCCCTCATATGGTTGTAATGGACTCATATTTTGCCAGAAATTCAATTACACAACTTTTTCTACTCTAGAGTGGAAGGTCAGGAAAAAAAATTTTTTTTTTCCTTTTTGTTTTTCTTTAAGACAATCATTTCACTGTACACATAATTTTAGTGGATGTTGGCTGTTCACTTAAATGCACAAGATATACTAGCCAGCAGCTCATCTCCCCCAGAATTTGAAAGAAACTGACATATTTGGGGCATGAACTCCAGAGATGCTGAAACACAAAGTCCCATATGAGGCCTTCAGAGGGAAATAACTTAGGAGAAATGAAAGAAGGAGTAACTGATAGAGAAGTAGAATATTCCATTTTAAAAGGGATAGAGACTAAAGAATCAGAGACTTACTGTACCCTGAATGTCAGTTTAAGAAAGAGGTAACATGTCATCAATTTGAGCCACATCACGTCATACATTTGTAGTTCTAAAAGCACCATGGACATGATGAATACAAGAATGAGGATGATTTAAAATTGTTGTAAACATCTATGGTTTATTTTAACGTGAATAGTAAACTACACTTCAGTAGCACCTTGTCTTTTATACAGCATTCCAAATGTATTTCACCATTTTGCAAACATTGGTTTTGTTCATGCTAGTGATTCTACAGTGGGACACTGACTTGGAGTTTCAGGGAAACAAGATTTAAATTTAGTACAGGATCCTGTAGTGAGGTCAGCAGAGAAAATAGTTCAGCAACACCTCCATTCCCTTGGTTTGAGAAAACATCTGTTAATATGGATGTTAACAGTGCTAGGAAATACAATAAGCAAACCTTCAATCTTCATAACGCAGAGGAATATATGCAAAATAAATTAACGGTTTCTTGAAGCAAGAGTTTTAAGCCAGCCAAACGTGACAGCCAATCTGGGTCTTCTGTTCAAAATAATCTTGTGATAAAAAAAAAAAAAAAAAGACAAAAAAAAAGACTACAAATCTTTTGTATTAGCAACCCTCTGTGACACTGAACTCCAGAAATGCCGTCTTGCCTTTTGTTCTTTAACAGGCTTAGGGTTTTAAGAAAAAACCTACAAAACTTATTCTCCTTTTCAGTTGTCTAGTATAGACAAAGTCATGCTAGCTCCTGTTAGGAAACTAATGTGAAGGCTATTCCTCATTCTCTCATCACAGAGAGAAGAAATCTGATCCATAATTCAACTGAATTCTAATCCTCACAGAAAAAAAAATATCAACAGTTAAGAAAATTGAATTAAATACTTAAAGACAGGAGATCATGAAAGTATATGTTTACCCATTTTGAGCTCTGCATGTCCAAGTGGAATCTTTAATTCTGCAAGTACCCACTTTCACTTCACTCTCACTGGAACAAATCTGAAGTTTAACGTTGAGCTATTGGTCAATTTTCATTAGCACCATGCAAGCCGAAGTAGAATGTTATGCCTAGGATCAACGTCTTCACCATAAGCCTGGTGCATACTCGAGCTTTTCAGAAAGCAGTTATAAGCTAAATGACTCAAACACTGATGCACAAAGTATTACAAGCTTAAGGCTTTAGCATTTCACCATTTTAAAAGACACTTGGTAAAGGCTTGATAAACATCTTTTTAAAATAACAATTTCTGTACTAATTCCCTTGAAAATTCCTAGAAATACTGAACACCAGCACTCTATACAGAAACCACAGGAGATACCAATCTGGAAAGTTTACAGTAATTTTGTTGCACAAATCAGAGCGTATGATCTTCCAGCTGAATTTAGGCTTCTATTCTGTTCGGAAATAGAAGTGTTTCTTTATGCTTGACTACACACAATAAAAATTCATGGGTTCATCCTGCAGTCTTATGATTAGCTGAAATCAACAGCTTCTCTTGTATATGGTTAACATTTGTCTAAAATTTGTTAATACCTCCCATTAATATTAATACATGCCATTGACAAGCTCAGTATGTCATTAAAATGACATAGTAGTATGTCCTATGTTAATATTGTGTTTTTCAGAAAAGTGTTTAGCTGCTCTGATTTCTTATAGAAGATATAACTAGTCCCTGTGAATGTATTTTCTACTCAAGAAAATCCAAGTACCTTAAAACTAGCTTGCACTCAGCTGAATCACCTACTTTTCTTTCTCCCTCACTACCAGAATTACTGGAAGATTTTTTCTTTTTGTATCCTGAGACCACTGAAGACACCGATGAAATTTACCAGTCCAGCAGGACAATAGTATTTGACTATGCAGGTGATCTCAACCCTTCAGAAGCTTTGTAAAAAATACTTGGAAGAGATTTTGGTTTATGCCTGTCTGTTGCCCAAATGTCAGTCTTTTGACCCTATGAATATTAACACATTACAGTCTACCAAGGCAGTGATAACTTCAGGTGAAAAGAATACCTGTAACAAAAACTCGGAATTAAAAAACAGAATAGTTTACCACAAATACTTGTTTGTGGATCTTTTAATACCATCTCTAGCATTCTTTGCTAAATGTTGTTTCTGCCTTTGATGCAATCTCAGTTTGTTCTAAGTGCTACTTCTAAGAACAACAGTAAATATCTACAGACACAAAACCGGAGTGTTTAATGTTTCACAAGGTACATCCCTTTATTACTGTAATCACAAAAACATGATTTTGTACAGGAATGTTTAAGTGAACATTAATCAATGCAATAAATTTGTTTCATAAAGATCAGGTAAATGTACTACAGAACATTGTATTGTAAAGAACAAAAATATCAGCTTTCTGGCCTTGCAGTGCACGTTTCAGTGCAAGTATTAAGACATGATAGTGTTCAATTCAGCAATGTATTGCAGAACATCATGCCACAGTCCACTTCAAAGAGGGTCAGGACATGCAGCTTGTTAATAAAATGCTGTAGAATATATAAAAAAAGCCACATGTTAATTCATAAAATATATAGTGGTTTATTTGGATGATTTAAGTGATTTCACGGTGGAATTTAGTTTTATCCAGGACAAACATCCAGAGTTTCTTGTCATTTGGAATATTCTTCTTTTAGGCGATGGCTTTGGCTTCTGGTAGGAATGCCTCCCAGTATTTTATTAGCTTGAAGAGAAGGGAAAAACACTCACTATTAAGTACTAAATGCTGGAAAAGAACACACATATACCTTTCTCCTCTTGTGGTAAACTTGTCGCTACCACACAAGTAAGAACATAGGCGCTTCTCATTATCCACTCACATTATTACATAATGCAAGAAAAAAATACAAGTGATAAATACACAAATAGGCTCATAGCAACAGAGTTGTTACCACTCATTGAGCACAATGCTACACAACACAGTTATATAGCTCAGTTTGCTATTCTTACCTCTAAGGGTACCACTAATTTTTATTTTTTTTTTTAATTAAACTAAGCCAGAGGCTTATATTCCTGGAATGAACAAAGGAAAGAATCCAGACACACTTTCGGGAACGAGGGCTACTTCTGAGTCGCTGGAAACTGTTTTACAATAGTCAATAATATTTTATACTTTTTAAAAAGAGCAATAAACATTTAAGTACTCAAGTCTTAAGTACATATTCATTACAATTTACTCCAAGCTACAAGTGAAAGTATTACTTCCATTTCAGAATGAGAAGACAAGATCCTCTATTCACCCATATCCCTCAAGGAAGCTTCTCCCTTGCTTCCCTGAATTAGAGCTGTGCAAGGGAGCATAGTGATAGCTGGGAGACTGCAATTACTATGTTATTCTTGAGTACAGTACAGACTAGAAGTGGTTCTTCATGTTTTAGAAACTGATATACTTAGAGCCTGTCTTTTTTTAACTAACCTAATCAGGAACGTATTAAATATTAACTTGTACAAAACTTAAATTTTATCTTACCTGCTGTTGTGTTTGCACTAACGACTCTAAGTACTTGATAATAACACTTTTAAAGTCTTTCACTCGTTCCTTCTGTTAATAAATAAATTATGGCACATTAATGTCTTAATCAATTTTAGATAATATTGACATTTCAAGTAAAGTAAGACTGTCATTTATGTGGACAAAATTATACATGCCTCAAATCTTCCCACTTCCTTGCGAATGGTTTTGGAGATCTGTTCAAAATCTTTTTCCCCTTGCTGAACTTTTGTCTCCCACTGGCAAAGGAAAGACATACAGACGTAAGACTTTATGTTGCCCCGTCAGTCTATCAGTATCTGAACTTTTTTTAGTACATTAGTGGTAGTCACTCAAGAGCTGAGAAGGACCTATTTGGTTTTTTGGCATAATTAAGAGAAAGTCCTACAATAACAATTTCAAAGTAACAATTTGTATAATAGGTTGTCATTGGAGCAGTTAAAACAATGGTATCTCTAAGGTAATGCTATCTGTAGATGGAATGTAAAACTATCTTAGTATTGCTATTAAGGAACACAACGTTTTTTTTTAAGATTCTTTAGAAAAGAAAAAGGATCTCTAAAGCTTTACCCACTATTACATTTACAAACTAACCTGTAAGCTTTCTGTGACTACCTGTCCAATCAAGTGTGGAAGACTCTTAAAGGTTAGTTCCCTGTATTTTCATAATCCCAGAAGAGATGATTAAATCTTCATCTCTGCCTATGGCGATCTAGAGATATGATTACCATATTTCTGTTGCAGATGACAAGCTATTGAGGATGTGTTTACTGTGGATGCTCCGTCCCTGGAGACGTTCAAGGCCAGGTTGGATGAGGCCCTGAGCAACCTGATCTAGTTGGAGATATCCCTGTTCCTTGCAGGGGGGTTGGACTAGATGACCTTTGAAGGTCCCTTCCAGCCCTAACCATTCTGTGATTCTATGATCCTATGATTGCCTAGGCAAGCCAAAACACATGCTTTCTTGTTCAGTGGGAACTGCTTTCATAGAAATCAGGAGTAGAAAAGTTATTGCAGGTAAGAAGAGCACAAAAGGAACACTCAGTGGAAGTGATGTTGCTTGTGGGGTTTTGCCATTTTGGGACAGTGGCATTCATGTAACAATACAGGACACTAGGTTATGTTTCTTCTTAGTTTATGGTAAAAGACATCCACCTATAGAATGAGAGATCATCATCATCATCTACATTACCTTATAACTGCTTTTACACACCTGTTATATTGTTAAACTTAAGCTATCTGTATAGATATACTGTGGAAAAAAAGCTATCGGCCTCACACTTCGGAGGCACGCAGGCTAGCAGATATTTGAAATGCAACTGTATCTGTTCATCTCAACATATCAACTGTTTCATGGGAGCAAATGCATCCAGTAAAACTTATCTTCCTCAGAAAAAGGCAGCAGGGAAGCAACATACTTCAATATAGTATATTCCTGTTAGCAATCCAGTGGTGCTATTTATTCGCAAAAGCATTGTGTGGTGCAGCGTCAAGTTATTCTTGTGATATGAGATGAACATCATCTATGTTCCAATAAATATCTGTGTATGTATATTTTTAGTTTATATTTATTGAGAGTCCCTTTATTGCCTTTTCAGATATAAATTATGAAGCTATGCAGGAAGTCATAATATGATGTCCTTCGACGAAGAACATCCTGAAGAGTTATCTAATAACTGAAACATTAGAAAAACTCAGTCAAGGAAAAGGAAGATTAAGACTGCCCGTGCCTTCCTACCACAGCAACTAAAGGTACCCGAGACTTCAGCAAAAGCCTCTGCAGACCTAATGGATCCAACAGCCCAATTCCACCATGCCCAAATGCCAGGTCCTATACGTATGATCACTAGGTAATAGCTTGCCATCTGACTGTTTCTGGCAAGGAGAAATTTCTCCTTGTTCAGTAAGGTGTTTCTAGGGCTGTTCTACAGCCTTTTATCTGCAAAAAACAACTGAGGCATGGATGAAGCTCAAGCTCTGTAGGCTTCCACTTTGCAATTCCTCTGCCAGAAGGGCTAGTATTACAGAATTGAGCAACTCTGAACATACTTCAATGGCAGCAATAACTTTCAATCAGCACATTCAAATTGTGGGTTTACTAACGATCTTCTCTATCATCCAATAAAATAGGAAAAACAAATCCTTCAGGAACAACATAATTAATTCTTTTAATATGGGGACTGAGAAAGTATCACTTGAGTATTTCCTACTACTCCAATATTGAGGAAGTGTTTTTAACTAGGAGTTCCAGCTCACTTGTATTGTGGATGGATGGGTGAATTAAGAGAGGCAACCAGCAAGAACATGGTCACACAAGAGTGACACAAAGTTTTCCAAGTATAAGGCCTTTTTTAAGAAAAAGAAAGCCAAGTTAAATGAGTAACTTCAACACCATATGCAAAATACATGGAAGGGCAGAAAGAACAAAGCAGCATGTGGTTAGTGATCAATGAGGAAGCCAAACAAAGTAACTGCATAGGAGAGCTTGAAATCTACAATGATGATCTCCCGTTAATTAATGGGAGAACACTGCTGCATAATTATAATACTGCTGCACATATTAATGTGAAATAATTAAGTTGTCCTACCTCTTCAATTTCCTTAGTGAAGCATGATAGAAAAAGCGTATAAATTACGACACTTCAACATGTTAGATTTATTTTTACTGAAATTACACCATATATACATACATATATATATATATATGGGTAGATATGCTGCATAATTAAGCAAAACATGAGAACAGTTCTCCATTAGTTGTCTTAGCTGGATTTTAGCTTTAGAAGCCAAGAGATGCTCCTCTGCCTACCCAAGTGATCTGTTAATAGTTAAAAGCATCATTTAATATTATATTTTTCCCCTCCTCCCATCTCCCAAGACTCTGTAGAGACAGTATGAACTGCCTTACAGATCTTACAACAAGTAGTAATAGCGCACATTTAATATTTTAAATAAATTCCTTTTAACAATTTCAGCAAATATGGAAAACAGCAAACGTGTAAGTGATTTGTAAATAAAAATGGTATAAAGTAGTGCATTAATGCAGAATGAATGTGTTAATGCAGAAAGTCTGACCTCCAAAATAATGTTTGATAACATTACCTCTTTTATCTCATCTTTAGCTTGCTGCAATTTATCAGGTTTGTTGGCAAGCTGGAGCTTTGCTTCAGCTTCACGTTTTTTTTGTAAAGTGACCTGAGCATCTTGCCACTTCTGCCAGCATTTCATTCGATGGTCAAACACACCCTGTAAGGACAGAAAAATTTATCAAACAACTGGAATTGTTAGAGCTATCTAATTTCCTAGTATGAAAAGGTACTTCTGGATAAAACTGGAACAAGTATACTGAAAGATACCTCACTGTGTCTACCACGTCTTCTTGCATTTCATTTGACAGCGTGCGTGGACAGCTCAATACTTTCCACAAATAACAGCGTATTCAAGAAGCCTTTTCAGAACAGACACCTTAGTGCCCCAAACCATTTTATATTCCTCATTTCATCAAAACATTACCAAAACAACTACTACAAAATGCTCTATTATGCAAATACTCTCTAAATGTAGATTTCAGTGAACTTTTCATGCAAACGGATTACATGCATGCTCAGCAATACATTTTTGTTAGCAATGGACTAAGGTAGGACAATTAAAGTATACATATTAAAAAAAATAAAAATAAAGGAAATTAAAATAAAAAGGAAAATATATACTCCCAACAACCTGGCAAGGTCAATGATATTTCTGGATAAAATTCACAGACACCTCCTTCCCATGTCAAAACCTAATTATGCTGTGCAGCATGACTTATACACCAAAACTGAATATTTCTTTAATGAGATGTACATCCATAAATCGTATTTGTTTCTTATTTACAGAAACGATTGGCTATCTGCCAAATACAACCAAGTTATGTTCCCGAAAATGTATAAGCATACTGTAAAAATAAGTAACCTGAAAAAAAACAAGTACAGAATGCTTAGACACAGTAGTTTATGGTGTCCCCAAATACTGTGCACAATTAGTACTACTCAAAGTTGATGATGTTCACTGTATATATTTTGTCTGGATATTGCTAATCCATTCCCATTTTTGATCACAATCATTTTCATCACTGGATCACAGATGAATTCATTCTACTCCGCTAGAACTTCAGGCAAAAACTTAAGTCTTAACTGTGTTATGACATCTGTAAACGCACACAATCATTTATCCTAAATCTATGAATTCAGGAATGTGACTTTAAACACAAAAATCAGTATTTTCCCTAGTAGTACTCACTTTTACCGCAGCAATGAGACGAATGTAATCACCAAGCAGTTCTGAGAACACATAGAAATCAGCAAAAGCTTGTTCTTGATGCAATTGATCTATCTTCTCCTCAACCTCTGCAAGCTGTGACAAAGCTCTAGATAGAGCAGTGTGGTCCTCAGAGTTACCTAACATGGCAGCACTTTTAGCAAAGGCAGCTGTGTTGGCTGAAAGCTCTGAAATACCGAAGAAATGTTCAGTACAATGCAGTTAGTTTGTTATGTTACTCTCCAGCATAGATCATGGAAAAGAGAACTCTGCCCTATTTCAACCCTAACTTCATCAACTGAAAAATATAAGCTGTATTTCCTAAAGCTGAGGATACAATACACAAAAAGATCACAATGAAACCACAATTAGGAGGAAAAACTCCTCCACAAAAAACTATCCATCAGTAAATGTTTCGCTGAGCCTGTTGATGTCATGTCTACTTTGTCCAGCAAAAGACACAGAAAAAATGGTCACTTCCATAATATCCAACTGCCTAGCTTAGAGAAAAGGCAAGCCCTCAAAACAAAAGCCAAGTCACCTACAGAGCAAATTCAAAACAATTTTAACAGGTTTATAGCACAGTTGTTCTATGCAGTTAAGGTGGAGAAAAAACCAGACTATTTCACAAAACCACCACTCCCATGAGCGGAATTTATTTCTGTTAGGCTGTTTTATTGACTAAAGTACCTTTAACTGTGCATACTGTAATGTACTGCCACATTCTGACATGTCATAAAAAAAAAAAAAAAAACAACATATAAGCATGGCTGGCATCTATGAAGATAAAGTTTTGAGCTTATTTATTAACAAATACTAGGGCAATTGTCTCATCAAATCCCAGGTAAGTCATTCTGTACAAAGTTAAGTCCTATGAAGGACCTTTGAACAAATGTTTAATCCAAATTGCTTCAGGATTAAAAGTGCAGGTTTGTTTGCAATTGTGCTGCTTCTGCATAATCATCAGAACAGCAGATATGTTTGTAGAAGCAAAACGTCTTCAGATTTTTAAAAGCCTTACAATTTGAACATAACTCTCTCTAAAAAAAAAAGACAACTTTTTCCAATTTATGAGCAGGTGTCAAATCAACAGTAAATTAACACTCCAATTTTCCATTACAGAGAGTAATTCCTCATAGAGTTACGGGAAAGCAACTTATGACATTCACATACTTTTGAAAGTGTAGAGCTGAAAGGTGACCCCACATATTAACATAATAGAGTAGTGTCAGAAGGCACATTTATGGACTTACTTGAACTACAAATCAAAGTCTCAGTGGTTTTTTTTGTTGTTTTTGTTTTGTTTTCTTTTTTTTTAAATCATCTGATTGAAAGCAATCTTTTGACAAAACAGCAGCACAGGTGATTCAAATATAAACTTACAGGCTTTGCTTCTTTCTAAAGTAAGTAACCCAAAAGCTCATATTCTGAGACTACTTAACTTTCCAGAAATGAAAGTGGCTGGATGATGTGTCATTATGTGGACCAAATTAAGAATAGTAAATTCCTGTTTAAGAATTTAAACTCAGTTAGCAGAACAATACTGAACCAAAAGATGTTTAAATGGATTTATGCAGCCACTTTTTGTTCAGAAGGAAACGACTCTTGCCTTGAGACCTAGAGATACATTTATAGATGCCTACTGTAGTAGAGTCACTTGGTGCGTATGGTATTGAATCTCTGCAAGAAAAAAAATTATGCTAAATCAATGTAGTGACTTTAAGAACGACAGATGTTCTGCTTAAAATGAAGATTAAAACCAGGTATACAAAAACGCTAGAGTAGTTTAAACGAAAAGGTACAATTAGAAGATTTTTGCAATAAATTACAATGTATAACTCTTAATTAGTTCAGCACTCTGACATACTGAGCTCCTGTTTCATCACTACTTCCTACAGTTCTAAGCACTTCAGTTTATGCAGCCACATAAAAGTAAAGTTACCTTTTCTGTGGCAGACTAATGCTTCGACACTAGTATGAAGTTTCCTAAGTTGCTGATCCAGATTCTCAAATTGCTGCTGTTTTTCTTCAAACCACTGACAAAAGATGAAAGAGTCAAGCATTACAAATTAGATTACCAACAACATTTCTGGTTTTAAAGAAGCAAATTATCCATGTACTGCCAGGGTGGTCAACTGATACAGCTAAGAATTCAAGCCAATAAGCAAATTAATAACCCATTTTCTACTTCTACAGCTTGAAAATGCAATTGTTGAGGCTCATTAATTCGTCTCATTATTCAAGCCAAAAAATCAGCTCTTACTGCATCCGATTCATTCATCTTGATTGTCATTTTGTTGACAGCGTCGGCAGCCTTGTTCACCATCCTCAATATTCCTGCTCCACTCAGAGCCTGGGTGTTAACCGCTCTCGGCAGCTGGAATTGAATGACAAATAAGGGCAAACAGACTGGTTAAAAGGATGGAGGTTTAACTGGGCACAAGGGGGAAAGAAAAGGATATAGTGTTTTCTTTACTCCTATGTGTTTCAATATAGTAGAATCTAATTTCTCAGATTTGCTACCTTTACATTCTCAGGAGGAAAACTTAAAAATATAGACTATTTACTTTTCTTCTACATCTTTACATTTAAATGGAACAAACAACCCACTTGTCCAAAATTATTATGAACTAGCCAAAGGTCCTTACTAGCCACCTATACACTACAGAGAACAAAGTACCACTACAGGAACAGAAGAGCTTAAATTTACAACAAATCAGATGAAAGAAATTCTGTCCAATATTTAATTGTAATGCAAGATTTGCACTGTGTGCCAATTATGAAAGGTTGATGTCTTTTTGCTTTTCAATATAGGCCAGATTTGAAAACCTATCTCATGCGTATCAAAAAAACCCGTGTATTCACTTACGTACTTAGAAATCCTCGGGGGTCAGTTAACAAGCTTTAAATTTAATTGATATGATTATTCAGGCTAGTCTGCACATGCCATACAAGGTGGCCCCTATGTCAGACCATTTACCCTGTGTGTGATGTTTCGTCTGTCAGCAGCATTGACAAATCCACTGTAAGTTATCTATCAACAATGCTTTTGTCAGTAGTGAGGTCTCTGTGACTTATTAGTATAACTAAGACATTGACAGTGGCTGAAAGACAGTTCAGTATTACAGTCAATCCACTATGCACATTTATAAAAAGATATTATGTATCTTTAGCAATACAATTAATTTTGTGAAAGGTGACAGATCGATATCACGTCTGACTGCAGTCCTCTATTCACAAAACATCTAGCCTGGCCAGCAGCCAGGCGTTTTCACATTATCCTACCAACAAACTTTAAGTTGGACTCCTAGAGGCAAGACAGCTGCTTTCAAGCCAGTTTATTTCCTGATCTTACTTAACAATCAGTAACATCAATTATGGATTTTCACCATGTATAACAAGCTTCACTCAGAACTGGACAAACCAACTTGCTTGAGAAGTCACTGGACAGCAAACAGCTTTTCGTCACTACTACTCTTAATTTTTATAAGAGGCACACCATTACCTAAGTAGCCTCTAGCATTCCGTCCCATGAAGAGTACAATCCAAATTGATTTCATATGAATTTAGGAGATCAAGTCTTTATACAAAGAGAATACATGGCTTTGTAGGTTACCATAGCTAGAAACAAATACAAGAACTCAAGAGAACTTAAATACCTCAGAACTTTCCAAGAACTGTCTTAAATCTGGATCCTGTAACAAGGTTGGGTGTTTCACTGTTCGTTGTAGATACCTGTAATTTTAAAAATGAAAATATTAGATAACAAAACAGATTTCATGTGCCTGGAAGCATTGGAAAGTGTCCTTCACCTGAAGAATAGGTACAATGCAGCATATAACCTCTCTATGTAATAGGGCTTGAACACTTTTAAGAGTTACCTCTAAAGGGTCAGCTGATCATTCCGTTTCCACGCCCTTCAATCCTTTGCCTTTCTGCTGACTCTTCAAACTAAATTTATGCATTCTGTCACCTTCCTCCAACAAATGCTTAGGCTAAGTCCCACACAGAGTTACAAGCTAGGCCACTAAACTGTTGAAACATTCACCAAATCCTTACTCCAGTAAGGCTGCCACAAACCCTGGAACTTAGGGAGGCCAGGAGGGTGCTCAGCAAGCTCACTACCCTGGATTTCAGGAGAGCAGACTTCGGCCTCTTCAGGCATCTCCTTGGTCAAGTACAATGAGATGAAGCCCTGGAGGGAAGAGGGGCCCCAGAAAGCTGGATAATATTCAAGGATCATCTCCTCCAAGCTCAGGAGCAGTGCATCCCAACAAAGAGGAAGTCAGGTAGGAACATCAAAAGGCCTGCATGGATGAACAAGGAGCTCCTGGACCAACTCGGACACAAAAAGGTGGCCTACAGAGGACGGAAGCAAGGACAGGTAGCCTGGGAAAAATACAAAGAAATTGTCTGAGCAACCAGAGATCAGGTTAGGAAAGCTAAAGCCCGGAGAGAGTTAAATCTGGCCAGGGACATCAAGGGCACCAAGAAAAACTTCCATAGATATGTCAGTGATAAAAAGAGATCTAGGGAAAACGTGGGCCCTCTCCGGAAGGAAACGGGGGACCTGGCTACCCGGGATATGGAGAAGGCTGAGGTACTCCATGACTTGTTTGCCTCAGTCTTCACTGGCAAGAGCTTCAGTTGCACAGCCCAAGTCACAGAAGGCAAAGGCAGGGACTAGGAGAATGAAGAACCGCCTACTGCACGAGAAGATCAGGTTCGAGACCATCTAAAGAACCTGAAGGTGGACAAGTCCATGGGACCTGATGAGGTGCATCCGCGAGTCCTGAGGGAACTGGCAGATGAAGTTGCTAAGCCACTATCCATCATATTTCAGAAGTTGTGGCAGTCTGCTCAAGTTCCCACTTACTGGAAAAAGGGAAAAACAGCCCCCATTTTTAAAAATGGAAAAAAAGAAGACCCAGGGAACTACAGGCCAGTCCATCTCACTTCTGCCCAGCAAGATCATGGAGCAGATCCTCCTGGCGATTATGCTAAGGAACATAGAAAATAAGGAGGTGATTAGTGACAGCCAACATGGCTTCACTAAGGGCAAATCCTGCCTAATTTGGTGGCCTTCTATGATGAGGTTACAGCATTGATGGATAGGGGAAGAGCAACTGACATCGTCTACCTGGACTTGTCCAAAGCATTTGATACTGTCCCACTCAACATTCTTGTCTCTAAATTGGAAGGACATGGTTTTGATGGATGGACCACTCGGTGGATAAGGAATTGGCTGGATGATCGCACTCAAAGAGTTGTGGTCAACAGTTCAATGTCCAAGTAGAGGCCAGTGACGAGTGGTGTTCCTCAGGGGTCAGTACTGGGGCTGGTGCTATTTAACATCTTTGTTGGTGACATGGACAGTGGGATTGAGTGCACCCTCAGCAA